ATGAGATGTATTCCTTCATTTGTGTTCTTATAAGTTGTGTTTATGATTATATGTTTGTGTGTGAGATGCTATGTGCAGTCTATCTGAGTATCCATCTAGAAATTAGAGTTTTCTTCATGATAGTCTTTAGAATCTTCATATGTCATTTTGCATACCGTGATCCATGTTCAAAAGGAGATTGAGTATCCAACTTAAGAGACCAACAACCGGTCTGATCTTTGGTGGTGTTAGTGTGGATTCAAGGAATCCATAAGGTGGGCATGCTGGGTTTAAATGCAGGATATGAAGGAGTTTTCATGGGTTTGAGGTAGTGAGGAATTGGTTTGGTCATAGGTGTAATATTGGTAATTGTCAAGTTCACACCTTCGAAGCAGGGTCAGTTGTAGGTTCGTATGGGAATCACTCTATTCCAAGTGAGTCGTTGAATGGGTTGGGTACCTATTTCGATAGTTGAGATTTTGTTCTTCGTTAACCGATAAAGTCGCCAAGGACTTGTAGTGGATTTAATGGAAGGTGCTTGGGGACGTTGAGTTCATGGAGATGTTGGAGCATATTCATCTGATTATGGGGTGTGTGTGTATGTTTTCTAGGATTGGATGATCATTGGAAGAATGATGAGATTTAACACCCTAATCCATTGGTTCTCCTTACAATGAAGTTGAAAATGTTTGAAGAAATATATAAAGTTATGGAATTTAAATTACAGAAACAACAAGGAAGGAGTGAAAAAGCAATGTATTCAACCTTTGGTGGAGTTGGATTCGAAGATTGATAAGGGAAAATGGGAGCCGACCTTGTTAACCGAGAGACTTATGTTGCAAAAAAAGATTGAAGACTTTAATCGTGTAGAGAGTGCTGATTTTCTTCAAAAGACTAAAATTAAGTGGGCTATCGAAGGAAATGGAAACTCAAATTTTTTTCATGGTATTCTTAATAAAAAACGTAAACATATGGCGGTTCGGGGAGTGTTGTTAGATGGGGAGTGGGCCGATAACCCTTCTCTAGTTAATTTGGAAATTTTGGATCATTTCAGAAATCAATTTGCTAAGCCTCCAAATCCTCAGCCTAGGATTCTCCAAGGTTTTTCTAATACACTTTCTCTTGGCCAAGCTGAGATGTTGGAAAATTCTGTTACTTCTGAGGAAATCAATGATGCGGTGTGGGATAGTGGTATTGACAAGTCCCTAGGTACGGATGGGTTTACTTTTGGTTTTATAAGAAAATTTTGGTATTTGATTGAAAGGAGTTTTATTAATGCTCTTATGGGGTTCTTTAGTTCTAGCATCGTCCCTCTTGGTTGTAATCCCTCTTTTATTGCTCTTATACCCAAGGTTCTTGATACAAAGACTGTTAAGGATTTTTGTCATATCAGTCTTATCGGATGTTTGTATAAGATTGTGGGTAAGATCCTGACGAATAGACTGGCTCTGGTATCGACAAGTTAGTGAGTGCGGAGCAATCTGCCTTTATAAAAGGTAGACAAATTCTAGATGGCCCCTTTATTATGAATGAGGTGCTTGCTTGGTGTAAATTGAAAAGGACGCCAACTATGGTGTTCAAAGTAGACTTTGAAAAAGCTTTTGACTTAGTTCGATGGATTTTCTGGATGATATTTTGCAGTGTATGGGTTTTGGCGAGATTTAGAGGGGGTGGATTCAAGACTGTCTTTATTCTTCTAGGGGATCTATTCTAGTGAATGGTTCAGCTACATATGAATTCACGTTCTTTAGAGGTCTGAGACAGGGAAATCCTTTTTCTCCCTTTCTCTTCATCTTGGTGATGGAGAGTCTTCATATCGCCTTCAAAGGGATTCTAGACCGTAATCTTTATTTTGGTATCACCCTTGGTACGGATTCTCCTGTTACTATTACTCACTTATTTTATGCCGATGGCACAATCTTTATTGGTCAATGGAACGACTCTAACATTCAAAATCTTGTTAGAGTTCTTCACTGTTTTCATTTGGCTTCAATTTTGAAGATTAATTTTCATAAAAGTAAGCTTTTAGGTATTGGGGTTCACACCCCTAGGGTTGATGCGATAGCTGCTCAGATTTGTTGTGCAACTATGAAAACCCCGTTCCCTTATCTTGGCCTTACTGTTGGTGGTAATATGTCTTGTTTTGATTCTTGGTGGGAGGTGGTCCATAAGATTGCTTCCAAATTTTCTAATTGGAAACTCAAGACTTTATCGATAGGTGGAAAACTAACTCTTATCAAATCAGTGCTTGGATCTTTACCTACTTTTTCATGTCTATTTATAAAACCCCTAAAGGAGTTTTATCAAAGCTGAAAGCCCTGCGTAATAAATTTTTCGTGGGAGATGAGATACTCGAAAAAAATTTATCTCTTATACGTTGGAAAAAGATCCTTGTCCAGAAACAGTTTGGGGGCTTGAGAGTTAATATCTTGTTTGCCTTAAATCGTGCTTTCCTCTTCAAATGGGTTTGACGCTTTTTATCTAATCCTATGACTTTGTGGGTCTTAGTGATTAAGTCTATTTATGGTGATTCGGGACGTCTTCATGAGAATATTTCTTCTTTTAAAAATTTGACTTGGGTGGAGATTGTTAAAGTCGTGGATCAACTTAAAGGCTTAGATATAGATTTACTTCAATTGTGCAACAAAAAGATTGGTGATGGTGCTTTTACTTCTTTCTGGGATGATTCATGGATAGGCGGTTTGGTGCTCAAATCTCATTTTCCCAGAATTTATAACTTGGAGAACAATAAAAACATTTCGGTTAAGGAAAAGTTAAATCATGATTATTTGTTGGTTTCTTTTCGGAGACATCCTAGAGGTGGGGATGAGAGTTTACAATGGGAAGGCTTTTATTTGCTTATTGAATCCATTTCCCTTTCTTCGGTCCCGGATAGATGGGTTTGGTCCCTTTCGGGGATGGGCGATTACATGGTGTCATCGACTCGTTCTTATACTAATGAGAAGACGTTACTAGTTTCCAAGTGGATTAAGGAGTTTCCTATCAAAATATTCGTCTCATCTCTTTTTTGAGTGTTTCTTCTCCTCCACTATTGTGTTTCAAGTGAGTAGGTGGTGGGGTTTATCGGTTAAGGAAAAGTTGCATCATGATTCTTTGTTGGTTTCTTTTCGGAGACATCCTAGAGGTAGGGATGAAAGTTTACAATAGGAAGGCTTTTCTTCGCTTATTGAATGCATTTCCCTTTCTTCGGTCCCTGATAGATGGGTTTGATCCCTCTCGGGGATGGGCGATTACACGGTGTCATCGACTCGTTCTTATATTGATGAGAAGACGTTACTAGTTTCCAACTCTCCTACAAGGTGGATTAAGGAGTTTCCTATCAAAATAAATGTTTTCGCTTGGAGATTATCTCTTGATAAACTTCCTACTAGGGTCATTCTAAACATGAGAGGGTTAGACTTGCCCTATTTGTGAAGATGCTCTCGAGTCTTCGTCTCATCTCTTTTTCGAGTGTGTCTTCTCCTCCAGTATTGTGTTTCAAGTGAGTAGGTGGTGAGGTTTATCGGTGCCCAATTTCTCTTCCTATGCGAATTGGTTGGTTTGGCTAAGAGCTTTGCGTTTATCGTCTATTTCAAAAAACATTCTAGAAGGTGTTTTCTATGTGACGTGGTGGTCCATATGAGAGTGTAGAAATTCTCACATGTTTGGTATTTCAAAACCGAAGGCAGCCCGTGTTTTTGATAATATCGTTTCGAAGTCTTATTTTTTGTGTAACGTTAGATGTAAGAAAGACATCAATTAGATGGGGTGACTCCAAAACCCGAAAATTGATATTATGTAATGTTTTTCTTGTTTCCCGATTAGTTTCTTGCTAGTCCGGTCTTTTTATAAAATATTGTTCGAAAAAAAACCCAATCCCTAAGGATATAATCTACATTTGTATAGCACTATATTACGTATAGTTTTAGTATTAGGCATCTGAATGTTTTTAAATATATTACATACATATATATAAAATTTTGTTCAGTTAATGCTTAATAGTATTAGATTAGTGGCCATTGTTAGTTATTTTAGTATCCTTTACTTTTAACTCCTAACCTTGTCAAGGTGTAAAACAACATTACCTATATTTCTAGGATAAAATTCACATTTTAAAGTATTATTTAGGGGTGTTTGGAAGTGTTTTTTAAAATGACTTATTAAATTATTGGTTTTTTAAATAATCAATAAGATAAAAAGGTATTCGCTATATAGTAACTTTTTAAACAAAAATAAACAGAAAAGTAACTTTTCAAAAAAACCAAGAATTTTTAGCTTTTCCAAAAAGCCACTAAATTGTTTCAAAAGTACTATTAAACATCCCATTACTATTACATTTTTTTCATTAACTTTTTGTCCCTATCAATCCACTTATTTGCAAAAATCATATTATTTAACATTTATTTCAAGTTCACGATTTGCTTATTAGGATCGAGAGAGTCATTCCATCCCAACCCTCTTAATACATATGTGACATCATTTTTTTTCTTTCCTATCTCTTTTTTTTTATTCCCAACCCACTACACAAAGAACCTATCTATTTGCACTCTCCCAACCCACTTAATTTTATAAAAAGAAAATGTTTTATATATATATATATATATATATATTATATTATATATATATATATATATATATATAATAATGTGTAAATTGTAATATAAAAATAGTACAATACATTTTTATATGTACGCTTTAAGATGTATGGTGATGTGAAAGCAAAGGTAAAAATAAATCCCAAAATCTATCGCACACTTTTACCTATAACTTTGCTATAAGTAGCTAGCTCTTTTCCATCTTTCCATACTTTTATCGAACTTTCCATTTGTTTCAAAATTCGATTTTTATTAATTTATTGGCACTCAACTTTGTTAGATAACCAAAATAACATGGAAGCATTTTGAATTTTGATGGCCATTGAAAGTCATCTATTATTTCTTGGCACTTAAACGTTTCTTATAACTAAAACAACTTGTTATTTTATAAAAAAGGTTGACTTTTGGAGAAAAGTCAACTGTTATGTTCTAAAATCATCATTAACATTGTATGTTATCGATCAGATAATGTGACATTACAATCAAAGTGGTACAACCGAAAATTGGCCATACACCAACAAATACAAGACCAAAAAATCATAATAGTAACACAAATCATTCACTCTCCAACCATGACATATTTCTTACATTCAAAACCTTGTTCACACGAATCAAAATAAGTCAGTTGTTTATTTGATATACAATGGCTAATTGTTTTTATTTGAAATCATTTCAACGTTAAATTGCTTTCATATCCATGCTTATGGCCTTGGTGTGTGACGATCATTCGCACCGGATCCTGGATAATCACTTGTTAAAACCATCCTTCTTGATAACATGGTCTCATCCCAGTTGTCTTCTACATTCTGTGTTTGAAAATGTCAAGGCGCACATATAAATTCAAGTTAAACAAAAAAAGAATAAAGGAATTCGAATTCATAATTAACCTCCAGTTAAAGCATTAACGTGATTTATATAGCAAGATAATTACCAAGTCTGTGTTGCTTGAAACTTCAAGAGACCCTTCATCAGTTAGATTTATAGTTCCTGAATAGAAAACACTCTCATTAGTTTTTAATACTTACTATCATCCAATTAAAAAGTCTTTTCATAAACACGTAAAACAAGAGGGAAAAGGAGTAGGATTACTTGAGATTGGGATGGCAGTGAATGACGAAACAAGTAAAAAGAAGCCAAGTAGAACAACAACAAAACTAGTGCTTGATGCCATTGCTTTTAACACAACTTTCAATCAATCACTTAATGTAAATCAGTTGCCACCAAATTGCTATACCTTGTAAGTATATATAAAGGGTATGAGTAGCACTCACGTTATATATATATATATATATATATATATATATATATATATATATATATATATATATATATATATATATATGGCTTTTGGTGGTGAGTTCGCCTCTCACAAAGGTCAACTAGTCACACATCATGAAAATGCAAGTTGCTTTTTAAATATAAGTTTATATGTCTATTTTAATAATGTATTGTAGATATATGATAAAAAAGAATAAAAAATTAATTATCTAAAATATGATGCCTACATATGTCACAATGATAAAAGAAACTATTATTTGTAAAAAAATTAAACAACAAGAATTCATTCAAAAAGACGCTAGCATTAGTTTAGAAAGAGACACATTAATCATTTCAGTTGACAATATATCGATCACTAATCTAATTTTCAACCAATTAAAAGGAACATTTATCACCTCACTAGCTAGAACATTACATTTTTTTAGCCACGTCATCAAAAAAAGTACCACCACTTTATTTGTTTTCATATCATCTCTATATATATTAAACCAGAAACCTAATTACATCATCTAAAACAATCTGGCCCATTCAATGTTTTTTATTGATTATTTTAAACCACTAGATCAATTTCGCTGATGTCATCATAACAAAAGGGAATTACAAATACGCCTTTTGTTACCGTCTAAAACAATTTTTCCTCCAAAATACAGATTGCTCTCTTCCTATTTCTCTCTCTGATGAAGATAATATCAAAAACCGATGATATCTCCAATTTCTATCAATGTTCTTCCTTCTCAAAATCAATGATCATTAAGCCATCTTATTATATATAACGAGCCACATATCTTCTCCATCAATGCATCTCGTGCGTCGTGTTTGTCACCAACAACTTGAAATTGAGATTGACTACCAAAGATTATTCCCAGTGTGCTTTTATTCTTCTCAAGGTTCACATTCTTTTTAATTTTTTTGTCTCAATTCTGCTAATAAAAATGTTATCGATCTTGCCTACTTTATCTTCTATTGATTTTGCTAATTCAAATGTCACTGATATTGCCTATTGTATCTTCTGTTGATTTTGCTAATAAAAATTTCGATTGATATTGTCTAATGTATCCCTATCTGTTGCCAGAAAATTAAACATCATACCTGAATGAATCTGAATCTGAAGGTAACTTTTTTGAAATTGCCTTCTGATATTCTGATGTATGGTTAGTTTTGCAATTATTACGACTTTTAAAGTTTTAGTTCTTATTAGGAATTTTTTTATGAAATTAATTGCTTTGGGTTTTTGTAGCTTCCATTTGAACATTAATATAGATTTATTTAGGATGCATATTAGTTGTTTGATAAAATGTCTGAACAAAAAAAAAAAAAACTTTGGAAACTTCCATTGCCATCTGCAAATTTTTGACTAAAATACCACTGTTTCTTTTTTCCCCATTAAGGCATTATTTCATTTGTATGGCTACATTACATAATATAATATGTCTTTAAGTCTTTGTAGATAATCTGGAAGGTGCAAATTCTCTAAAGAAGATGAAAAAAAGCTGCAAGAAACAAAAAAAAAAGGAAAGGCATGACTACTCTAGATGATAGAACACATTGAAAAAAAAAAGGAAAATATGTGTGATTACAAAAAGCATTACTCATTTTTGGATTAATGATCTGGAATTGTGGTGTGGCTTAAGTAATGCATGTGTGTCAAATTTTTATGGCAGATTTACTATATTATTATTATTGTTTATTCCACAAACAAGATTTTATAACAACAATTTTTTTTTATTGTTCGTAACAAACTATGTTGACCAAGTCTATTATTGTCAATTTGTTTTAAGTTTAACTAACAAACTATGTTGACAAAGTCTATTATTGTAAATTTGTTTTAAGTTTAAAGATAATTTTCTTAGGACCAAGGGTATAATTGTCAACACGAGCACATACTTTATAAATTTTAATTTCTTTCATGAATCTTATATTCTTATTTATGCAGATTATCATTCCAATTATACCATCAATCATAAACACTTTCCAAAATAATTATATGTATATTTATATTGTTTCAATATATAGAATCCGAACATTTATGATTATATTGTTTAATAAGGAAATATTATCTTTAAATCTTTTCAAAATCATGTACCCTTATCAATTTAGAAACCATCATTTAATTTAATCTTATTAAAAGGATTTAATTCATCTATTTTTGATACATATTTTTATTTAATATAAAAATCACGACACATGTTTTCCAATTATATCTCAATATTTGTTAACCAACTTTAATTCGTTATTATCTTCACCAATATCCTTTAATTTCATTCTTTGTATAATCATTTTTTATGGTATGTTATGATATCCATTATGCATTTACTCTTCTCTCCAACTTTATGTACTTCATCTTACATTTTATAGTATACAACATATATGAATACCAACAATGGAAGAACCAAATCAAAAACATCGCCATGTCCACCACTGTCGAACATCACAAACGGTAAACTTTTAATTTAATATTATCATTAGATGTTCAATACATATAATTTATTGATTTTCTTTTTATGTAATATATATTCCCGTTAAATTTCATATTTAATGTCTAATATATTTTCATTTCATCCACCTTTATCATACTTTTTTTTGAAGAAAATAACTTCTACATCCCCACTAATTGTCGAGTTATTCGAATTACATTCAAACTCATCATCCCATAACGTCCTACGACCAAATTTGCAACCTACAACAATTTCATCAAGGTCGTCACTTTCCCAAATAACCAATCATGGTAAATTATTAATAATTACTTTTATATTATTCTCTCACTGCCAGTCCAAACCATATAAAGACTATTATTTTTTCCAAATTTAATAACTGTTGTTATGATACTAATAAACAGTTATAAACGGTTCGTATACGTCGCCGACTTCAAATGTCCAAACAAACAAAAATGCGACAAGTTTCAAGGATGTAAGGACGCATCACAACTCAGGTAATAGTTATCCTATTGTTACATTACTACTTATTATATTTTTTGTATTTAATTGATTATAAATTTAATTTCAATATATGTACTTTAATATTACATATACATATTCATATTTTCATTGTCATTTACAATACAATTTTTTTTTCCAGAAAATCGTATCTTCATAACGCCTGTTTCTCAAGTTACCCAGGAAGTTACTCCATCACCTTCAACATTATCCTCTCATAACCCTATACAACAAAATGTGCAACATTCATTTATTTCCTCAAGGTCGCCACTGTGACATATCACCTATCAGGGTAAGTTTTTCATAATTATTTTTTTATTATGTTTACCTAAACAATTTAGATAATATAAAAACTTTAATACATTCAATATTTACTAACATAAAAAACTACAAATGAACAGTTGTAAACAGTTCAAGTACGTTGCCAATTTCAAATCACCAAACAATTCAAAATACAACAACTTTCAATGCAGGCAAGACCTATCTGAACTATGATCATATATTTCAAATTATGTCATTATTAATTAATACATAATATTTTTTATTTTATCATATAATTACATTCGCTATATTTCACTTTATACCTTTTTTTCACGTTTAAAATTTACTTCACAATTATTACCAACACAATCATTGATCTTATCTAATCATTATTTTTTCAAAAAAATGTATTACATTTCAAGAAAATAACACAACAAAAACGACAAGAGGGAAACGAAAACAGTTCAATACAAAGGATATTCCTTTTTTTTTTATTTGAATGAAGATTCTGTGGAGAACTCAAGCAATACTACTATTCGTTCTCAACCTTCCTTCGGTTATACTGATAAGGTTGATTACCAAGGTATGTTATCATCTATTTTGTTAATACATCCACTTATACATTTTTGCACTTAGTTTTATAAATATTCATTGTCTTATTAATAATTTAAATTATGTTTATTTTGCAGCACCAAGAAAAAAGAAACAAACATCTGTGCCTTATAATGCAGTTGGTCAAAATGATGTAAGGATTGACACCCATACTAAATGTATTGGCATAAGCAAATGTACTGTTTCTTTCTATTTAAAATTTTAAATTTTGGTTATCCAATGAAAATTATCATTTCAATATGTTATCACCCTTTTCATATTACGCTTATATATATATTATGTGATGAGTTTTTTTGTTTCTTTATAGATTACTTGGATTTTGGTGATGGGGTATACGTTTGCTCTGTATGTAAAGCTAGGGTTTGGAAGGGAGAAGCAATAACAGGAAATAAAGATTTAAGGAAAACCTCTTATTCCATATGTTGTTACAATGGAAAAGTAGAATTACCAAACTTGATTTACCCATCTCAGTTATTGCTTGATTTATATAGCGGAGTTACTAAAAATTTCATTCCGTTTTCAACATAGATTTTTCAACGAGACTACTTATATACCTCACATGAAGTTGACCCCATCCGATAAAAATTCCATTCCGTTTTCAACGTAGGCAATTCCCAAATAGCAGTTTGTTTCGCTATGACCATTAACAAAAGTCAAAGACAATCATTATCAAATGTTGGATTATACTTGCGTAGACCTGTCTTCACCCATGGTCAGTTATATGTAGATGTTTCTCGTGTAACATCCAAAAAAAGTTTGAAGGTACTCATATGTGATGAGGAAGGTCGTTCAACTAATAAAACAAAAAACGTTGTCTACAAAGAGGTCCTGCAACGTTTATATATATTTATCGATTTCAGTGTTTCTTCTTCACATTTCAATAATAACAATAGCCATAAACTTTCTTTTATAGATATTATGCAATATATATATATATATATATATATATATATATATATATATATATAATGTTTTTATATTTTTTTAATACGTTCCCCCGCGTTTAAGGCGGGTTATAATCGAGTTAACTTATAAATGAGAAATCAAATATCCTATCACATTTTTTATTTGTTTATCAAGATTCTAAATAACATTAGATGTGACTTGGCGGTAATGTCAAACTTCAAGTTTTTTCGAGTCGTGTTGAATC